GACGGCTGAAGCTCATGCTGCCTTTTTGAATAGCTGTGTCGTTACCAAGAGAGTGATGCGTGTGTAGGTGAGGGGTGTCAAGTTTTACGCTAATAGAATCAATAAACCGCATGCAAGTGCACAGCTGATCGATTGTAGTACTTAAGGATCGAATCTACAGAGAAGGAAGATCTTTTTCTGCAAAAGCCTTTGAAATAAATATGAAGTAAGGAAGTCTAGAACTGGTCTAAATTTAAAAGGATTTTTGGGGTGTCACTAAAACGTAAATTCTAAACTAAACGGGAAAAAGAAAAGTACTTAAGAAAATTGGCTGGAAAAACTAAAAAGAAACCTAATCTAAAACTCGAATAAAAATCGGATGGGAATGAAAAATAACCTAATGACTAAAAGTTTGAATGAAAATCGGGGTAAGGCAATAAAAATGAGATGCTAGGTTTTCAGGAAATTTATCTCCGAGGAATGAACGATTCAAAACATTGCTAAAAAGTATTTTAAAAGATCCTAGCTAAAAATTTTAGAACTCAAGTCACGAACGTATGACTATGTCACTCTCGTGATCATAACCAACTATCTCTCACAACCTTGACCAGTAGGTCCACTTTAGCCTGGGAAGAGAAAAGATGTAAGCTTGCTTAAGACTCGTCAACATTCACAGCTCACCCATAGGTAGGTTTCCACTCCTATAGCAAAATTTCTCTTCTCAAACTAGATCTGGATCCTAATGAAAACTTTCATAAAACTACGAACCTAAATCAGATTATAGTTCATGACACTACTCCCATGCCTGAAAAATAAGTTTAGAAGAAAAAGTTCTAGGATTCAGCTTTAATAGCTAATGGAATCCTCATCGAACATAGATAGTCTCCATCGAAAATCCCCTAAATCCAAATAGAACTACTCAGACATGATTAAAGAAAGCAAAAATATTGTATTGAAAAGCTGATGAGAAAGAAACAAAAAAGGTTCAAGAGATAGATCTCTATCTCCCTAAACCTAAAACAACTCTAAAAACTTAAAAAGTATTCTAAAACATAAAAGAGCATAAAAGCATAAAAGACATACGTCCTAGGGTTCCTAAAACATGTATTTATAGGCTCAAGTCATTTTGAACGTCACTTAGGGTTTCTTCAAATGAATGAAACGATTTGGCTCGGAAATGGGCTTCTAGGCCGAACAGACCATTCGACGCGGTCAGAGGAGACATGACTGGTGGCCGCGGCCAGGATTGCTTGTCGGCTGGTTGACAGGACATCTTGCTCTTTGCGTAACTTTGATTGAACCGTTGGATTGTCTTGGTGTCAAATGTGCTGGAAAGATGATTGTTCCATCTTTAAGGTCTCCAAATTTGAGTTGGATCAGACGGTGAGAAGGTCTTCATTTGAGGGTGAACTTCTGACGGTTTGACTCTGAGCTGAAAATCTGGTCTTCTATCCATTTTACTAAGCTTTTTCCTAAGTTTTCTGAAAAGAGTTTTGAAACTACAAATACTAGAAAACCATAATAAAAACACTTAAAAGAAATAAAAACATTGAAAAAGTATTTTAAATAAAGTGGTCAAAACACGGTGTTCAAAAAGGTTTGGTAATTTGCAGAATGAGCCTGCCCCACCAGTGAATGTTCAGCAGAATGTGCAGCCGCCTGCGCCTGTTCATCAGCAGAATGCGCTGCCTCCTGCGCCAGTGCATCAGCAGTTTGTACCGCCTCCAGTGAATGCTCAAAAGCAGTTTGTACGACCTGTGAATATGCATCAATAGTTTGCACCTCCGCCGTTTCATCAGCAGTTTGTGCCACCACCGTCTCCTCTGGTGCAGCCTAATGCGTTTGGATTAACGTATTATGAGGCAATGAGGAACTTGAAGGACATGAACATGGAGTCATTTGGAGAAAGGTCTGATCTTGTCACTGCTGACAATTGGAGGAAGAAGCTGGAACGGAACTTTGAGTCCATGAGGTGCGCACAGAGATACCACAGGGAGCTAGCACTTCAGTACCTACGGGATGAGGCACTAATTTGGTGGGAAGGTGTTGTTGAAGGAGTCCGTGAACACTATGAGCTGGCATGGAATGACTTCAAGGATGAGTTTTCTCGTGAGTATTTTTGACCAGAGGCAATGGATCAGATGGAGAGTGCTTTTGAGGATTTGCGCCACGGAAACCTCAGTGTGAGGAAGTACAAAAAGGAATTCAACAGGTTGAGGAGATTCTCCAGGAAGAGTTTCACTCAGGCTGATTTGATTCGTCTGTTCATGAAAGGTTTGAGGTTGGAGCTGAGGAATCATTACTCGATCGAAAGGTACCAAAGTTTGGTAGAGCTAATGGAAACAGCTACTAAAAAGGAAGTTGGTCTTGAGGAAGAGCTTAAGAAAACCAGGAACATGTAGGCTCGTATCAGTGCCTCGCGTGTTCAGGAAACCCAGAAGAGGACGTGGATATACATGACTGGGAACTTTCCTTCTGAGAATGCTCCAATGTACAACCGCTGTGAGAAAAAAACAATTTGGGTGCTGTGGGATAATCAAGTGTTTTGGATGTGGAAGAGGTGGACATCTCACTAAGGATTGTCGAGCCTAAGAAAAGAACAATCAGTGTTTCAAGTGTGGAGTGCATGGATATTTTTCTAAGGATTGCAAAGTCCTTCTGCCCAATCAGCAAGCTCCCGCAGTTCACCAAGGACCGATGCCAGGACCACCAACTAAGAGGCAAACCGTTGGACTGTTTGTGTATGCGCTCACCAAAAATGAAGGGGAAGCACCGATCGCTAGTACGTATATGAGTTATTTCACTTTAAAGATAGTTGTGATACTTATGAATTTGCGTAAAATGGAAATTGTGTGCTTAGACATAAGTATAAAAATTATGTAGGATTGGTCTCCGTAGGAGGAGTGATAGCTAACACTTTACTTGACATCGGTGCCACTCATAGTTTTGTGAGCCTGAGGTTGACCAAGTGTTAGACTTTTGCTGGAAAGTTCATACCTAAGTCGAAAGCAATTGAAACTGATGGGACTGAACAGGTGAAGTTTATTGGAGTGCATGAAGATGTATCAGTCTTGCTAGAAAGAGCGGAGCTTCCGTGGAATTTGGTGGAGATGAAGCTGGGCCAATATGATGTGATCCTCGGAATGGACTGGTTGAAGCACTATCAAGTCATCATGGACTGTGAAAAGACGCGAGGCTACATACCATGACAAGATAGAAGATTGATGTTTCAAGGAATCAAGACAGATACAGGTTTGCCGATAATCTTGTTGATTTACGCTATAGACTTAATGGAGAAAGGATGTGAGGCATATCTGGCGACGATTTCCATGACTGGAGAGGGAGAGTCGGAGAAATTATCAGTAACCAACGGGTACGTGGACGTATTCGAACCGTTGACTGGACCGCCACCATAGTGAGGGGACGATTTATCAGGTGAAGTCTATTGGACCGCCAATTGAAACTGATGGGACTGAACAGGTGAAGTCTATTGGAGTGCATGAAGATGTATCAGTCTTGCTAGAAAGAGCAGAGCTTCCGTGGAATTTGGTGGAGATGAAGCTGGGCCAATATGATGTGATCCTCAGAATGGACTGGTTGAAGCACTATAGTCATCATGGACTGTGAAAAGACGCGAGGCTACATACCACGACAAGATGGAAGATTGATGTTTCAAGGAATCAAGACAGATACAGGTTTGCCGATAATCTTGATGATTTACGCTATAGACTTAATGGAGAAAGGATGTGAGGCATATCTGGCGACGATTTCCAGGACTGGAGAGGGAGAGTCGGAGAAATTATCGATAGTCAACGGGTACGCAGACGTATTCGAACGTTGACTGGACCGCCACCATACTGAGGGGACGATTTCACTATCGAGCTAGAACCAGGAACGACCCATGTTTCGAAGGCAGTGTATCGGTTAGCACCAGCAGAAATGACCGAATAAAAGAAGCAGTTAGAGGCCCTTACGGACAAAGTTTTCATCCGACCAAATAGTTCGCCGTGGGGTGCACCAGTGTTGTTTGTGAAGAAGAAATAAGGGAATTTTCGTCTTTGTATCAATTTTTGTGGGCTGAATAAGGTGACCATCAAGAATAGATATACGTTGTCACAAATAGATGAGTTTTTGGACCAACTGCAAGGAGCGTCGTGGTTTTTGAAAATCGATATAGCATCAGGCTACCATTAGATCCGGATCGGATAGCTGAGGAGAATATCAAGAAGACGACATTCCTAACCCGTTATGGACATTACGAGTTTGTGGTGATGCCGTTTGGATTGACAAATGTGCCGGCTGCATTTATGAAATTGATCAACACCGAGCAACTTGGACAAGTGTGTAATTGTCTTCATCGACAATATTTGGGTGTACTCAAGGACCGAGAGGGAGCATGCTTGGCTTCTACATTTAGTGCTTCAGGAGTTAAGAAATCATCAGTTTTTCGTGAATTTCAGCAAGTGTAGTTTTTGGCAAAGAAAGATTTGATTTCTTGGTCATGTTATCTCAGAGGAATGAGTAGAAGTGGATCTAGAAAGGATTGCTGTCGTGGCCTGTTCCTAAAAATATTACAGAGAATCATAGTTTTTTGGGACTAGCCGGATATTACCGCAGATTCGTGCTGGAATTTGTGAGGTTGACGAAGCCATTGTCGATTTTAGTCAAAAAAGATGAGAAGTTTGAGTGGACAAAGGATCGGAACAAGAATTTTGAGGAGATGAAGAAGAGTTAATTCCAAAATGAAAAAAACAGATTAATATCAAAATAACACCACGTTTTCACTCCTCACAGAGAGACAAGCGTTTCTTGACACAACAAACAATAGTGCAAACACAGATATACACTTATCACTATGTAAAAAATAACGAAAGACAATAGAAACTAAGAAGCATCGGAAACATCACCATAGCCAAACTGTGACAAATGATCGGGTATAGTATCATTATTCCAGATGTCGCCTGCACTGTCTTCATCACTCTTGTCAATTTCTCCAAACTGGTTAGCTAACTCTCAACCGCTTATTCTTCAACAGCCACACCATTGTTGTCGTCATTCACGTCATCTCCACCATTGCCGTCGTTCATGTCATCACCAAAATCTTCATCAGCAATAGCCACACAAACATTTTCTAGAGCCCCACGAGCTTCTCCATCACTCTCATCTTTGACATCACCTTCTCTGTTTTTACGTTGACGTGGTGTGAGTTTCTTCATTCTAGACATGACCATTTCAAGGATTTGAAGGATACTGGATGATGGTGATGGTGATTTTAAGAATGATCGACAATGGAGATATGTATTTTAAGAAGAAGAAGTCACGGCTGAGAAGGATATCGAATAAGGGATTTGAATTCTCAAGGGGTTTGGGTTTAAATTTCGAGTGTTCTAATTCAAGAAACTATGGTGTTGATTGGTTCACCCACTATTGCGGGTGCGGTTGGTAGCGATTAATGGCATTATATAACAATCATAGAAATCGCTTCAAACTGCTCCGTATCGTTTTGGTACCGCTGAAATCCAAAAGTGGTTCCTACTAGCGTTTGTGGTTGTGAACAGTAGCGGTTAAGTAAAAAATCATGCTAAAAAAATGGAAAATCACGTTAAAAACAATTATAAAACCCAAACTCTACTAATCTTTTCATATATATATAAACCCTAATCTATCACTTTTTCTATCAAGTGAGAACCTGACTGGTTTAAACGCAGCGGTTGTGGTTGCGAGTGCGAGAATTTGCGGAAGCGGGCAATTGCGGTTTTGAGCGTTATTAAACGGTTTGTAGGACTAGTTAAACTTTTTAAAGCGGGTCCGTTTGCAGAACATTTTTGACTGGCAAACCAGCAGATGTTTTAGCGGTTAAACATAAAATTACCAAAATAAACATCAAATATAGTTATAAAAAAAAACATAAAAACTATATTATTATTCTATATATCAAAATCACTAGTTCAAAAATTAATAATAAATAAATTATAAATAAATAATAAATAATTAATAAAAAAACTAATAAATTTTATGATGACATGTTTTATTTCAATTGTTGGGAATGTCACCCAAAATCGTGTCTAGTAATATAATAAACTGGATAAAATTTGCTCCAATATGTGGATCTTCTGGATTTGTCTTGTGCATGATGTAAAATTTATTTAATTGATCTAATCGATATGAATGAATTAAACCAAAGTATTACGACACTTACACTTGTGTGTTGACTTTCTTCAACTGGTATGGAAGCCATAATTAAGGACTATAACTTTATAGAAAAAGTGATAGAAGGGTTTATATATATAGGAGACGATTAGTAGGGTTAGGGTTTTAAATTGTTTTTAACGTAATCTTCCATTTTTTATGGAGTTTTTTTTTTAATCCAATTGCTACCACCCATAACCACAAACTCTTGCGGGAAGCACCTTTTGGATTTCAACAGTACAAAACGATATAGAGCGGTTTGCAGCAATTTTTATGATTGTTATAAAACGTTGTTAACCGCTACGTTGCATTTACGGGTGATAGCGGGTGAACCAATCAACATCTGAGTTAATTTAAGTTAGGTCATGCAAAAATTTATTAGATCTATTGAAAAAAATTTACATCATTCATAAGAAAAACTCAGAAGATCCATGTATTGGAACAAATTTTTTTTTTGTTTGCTACATAACTAAACACAATTTTGGGTGATGCTCTCAAAAATAAAACATGTCATTATAAAACTTTTTAGTTTTTTTTTGAATAATTATTTAATATTTTTTTATTTTTTTTATTATCTATATACTTATTTGTGTAGTGATTTGCTAACGTGTCGCATTCACAGTGAGTTTCACCGCCTTTCGCTTACGTGTCAGCTCCAAAATGAGTTTCGACCGCAGAAAGACCATTTAGCCCTATTTTCCGATTACGTGTCATTATTTGATTAGTTCTTATTTGATGACATGTAAAAAAAACTTAAAACAAACCAGTTTAAATTCTTAAGGTTAAATGCTTAATTCCGTACTCAATCAAACCGTTTTTTAAAATTAGATAAAACCGAAATTTAGAAGAAATTTTTTAAAAAAAATCACAAAAACGTTTTTAAAAAAAAAGCAAATAGAAACTATATCTCTTAATGATTACCATTTTTTTATATTTCCAAAATTTACACAAAATCTAATAAAAATGTTAAAAGAAACAAAGATAGAATCTAATTAAAAATTAATGAAATGTAGTATGAAAACAAAAAAAAAACTAAAAGTTAAATAAAGTTTGACTAAAAATCTAACAAAAAGTTAAAAAAGATTATATGTTTTTCGATTTCTTATAATTTAGTAGAAATATCAACCACTTTTCTCTAATTCTCTCATTACTTTCAAAAATTGTCTAACCTCATTCTTCTTCATTCTAACTAAAAAATCATGGAATCATCAGGTAAACATATACTAATGTTTTTCTAAATAAGTATTCAATAAGGAATAACTTAAATCATATCGGTCTAAATTATTATGGTTTAATATTTCACTTTATTGTCAATACTATTTTTAATTTAATAAAATTGATATTTAGTCGAATCTAACAAAAAAATAAAAATCAATCAATGAAATGTCTAACGAAATGATGATATTTGTAATGTCTAAAATACGTAAAAAAAGTGATCAAAGTTGAACAAGTTTATACGGTACTTAAAAAAATTACATCTAAAATACATAGAACAATGATAAAAAAAAATCTCAAAACTATTTAAGCTAAATTATTTGGATACTAATATATTTTTATTTACTCTCTTTTATATTGTTTTCACGATTATGTTTTCAAACATTAACATACATAATAATCTAACAAACAAATATATTCAACAATAGAGAATAAAAAAAACAAATGAATCTAAACTACTATTTGATTTTCAAACAATCAGATGGAGAATTATATCAGTCCGCACAAGACGCGGAAAAGTTAACTAGTTATTAAATATTTTGAACTAGTTATTTTGATATTTGGCTCAGTGAAAAGTTCATACTTATTTTGGGTCAATGAATAATTCGTAGTTATTTTGGCGTAAACAACTGAAACATATTAGCATACCACTTGAGAAAGTTAAATGTGTTTACTGTAGTTATCAATGTGTTAGTAATAGAATTGGTAGGTAGCTCTTAGAGCATCATTAACGCGGTATTTACCTGCGTCTCTTATAGAAACTTAATAATAACTGGTTTCTAAAATTAAAAAACATTTCTTATTTGGAGACAATAAAAAATATTTCGGCAGCCACGTGTCTGCAGATTATTGGTAAGAGCATCTCCATCAGTGTAATTCATCTTGGATCTTTTAAGATTAAACTATTATTATTTTTCTGATTTAAGTAAAGTTAAGAACTACTATATTATTTTCTTCCTCCATTAGTGAACCCCAATTAGTGAACCCAGGATTTTTAAGAACAAAATAATATTCAATTTATAAAATATTAGTCAAGCATTGAACGTTTAATGGCAAGTGTTACAACTGATTACATTAGTTATACAAGAACTTACAAGTTATTCATAAAAGCAAAAAAGAGCCAACCTCAAAAACATTTTTAGCAAAGGAGAGAGTATCAATGCCGAGACAGATGTTAATCAGTTGTCTCAGCAAGCTGAGGAGCTTCACTTTGTCTCAAGCTTTCAAGAGTAGAGATCATTCTATCCAGAGAGTCATGAAAAGACTTTGCCTGTAGAAAACAGAGATCATATTTACAATTAAATGACCATTGCAGACACAGTATAACATCAAAGCTACAGAGAAGATGCTGCTATGGATATTCACAATGATGACCATTGCATAACCAAATGTTTAAAGGTTTTCTCATGTTGCCAATTTGGCATCTCAAAATTCACATCCGTAATCTATCGGGTCAGTGACATCAATGGGGTTGCTGCCTGATATAATGGACCAATGTCTGATTATTACTAACAAGAGAAATTAAAAATTCAAGATGCCTTACAAGAGCAAGGGTGGGTGGGTGATTACCATCGACAAAAAGAAGAACAAGGGGTACCTATAGAGGAGTCCAACATTTGGAGAACCAATTTTCATCCGTAAAACCTGAAGAAAATCAAACCATTATATGTTCTTTCTTAAACAAATCTGCAGCTTCACTGCTTGTCTTGATAAAAGCATCACAAACTAATTTGCTCTATTAAAATTAGAAGATACATGGAAACAACTAAATCAGAAAGATGTTATACACCACATTTACTACCGTTCACCAGACATTTCAAATCAAAAGTTAGCATTATAACTTGACCGTAAATGGAATAGCTAGCTAGCTTTGCTTCAAATGGAATAGCTAGCTGGCTTGACCGTAAATCAAATCAGAAAGATGTACCCATCGCTGTTCTGCATCAAAGAGAGTGACACCAAACGGGTTTTGCTTCATCATTCTCAGAGAAAGGCACAAATTAAGACAACAATGAGCTCATTTATTTATTTATTTTGAATAGAATGTTAAATTTATTCAAGAAAAAAAAATACATATTCTTTACAACTGTTTTGAAATTATAATTTAAACAGCTTGATCAGTTTGTGTTTGAGAGAAGAGTTGTGGATCTCCTCTTACACCAAACCAAACCTGCAGTCCATCGCCATACTTGTTTTGGATTGTGCTCAACCTGTTACGCACAATGCGATCAATCTTCCTGAATAAAGCTTCGCCAGAGTTGTGTTGTTCACCGTGTCTTCGACCATTTCGTTCACACCATATAGAATATATGGCTGCTTGGAATACATAACGGGTGATAAACGAGGTGACCGATTTACCAAGAGGACGGGACATTCCCTCGACGAGACTGGCCCATGTGATTGTAAAGTCTGATCCCATGATTGTCGCCGCAAGAGCTTTCCAGAGAGTCTGTGTATAAGTACACTCGAAGAACAAATGGTCCCGGGTTTCTATGAAGTCACCGCATAATACACATTTGGGATTAACATTGCTGTTCCACTTGATCATTCTGTCACCTGTGGATAATCTGTTTTTTGCCGCCAGCCAAGTAACAAAAGAGAATTTGGGAGTTGCAGAGGAGAACCAAATGCTATGCCATGGATCCCATTTAGCATTTGGATTTCTCATGTTTTCCCAAGTCTCTTTTGAGCTAAACTTTTGCCTGTAAATGTCTCCTCTGCCCCTCCAAAGAGGAATATCTTCCTTCCCAAGAATGCGCTTACATTGCTCTGTTTTGATGTCCTCCTCCACCTGTCTCAGTAGAGGATTTCGATGCCTTCTACAGCGGTTCCTGTCCATGACTGCGCCAAGGGTGGCGTGGATTGGGATTCCTAAGTCAATACTTCCTCTTTCACCAAAAACATCATAAAGACAGCCTTGACTGCTCCACCGATCAAACCAAAAGGAGGTTCCATTGCCATTATGAATTTCAACCCTGTAGAGGTCTTTTGCAGAATTTCTATATTTTAAAACCTTCTTCCATATCTAGGATCCCAGAGTGGTCGTGTTGCTTACTCTCCACAGTGAACCATTCCGAATCAAATATTTTTGCACCCAGTTTACCCACAGCGAGTCTTGAGCAGATAGAATCCTTCATATCAGCTTCATTACACAGACTTTGTTTACTGAGTTCAAATCTTTTATGCCCAGACCTCCTTCTGCTTTGGGACTACAGACCATTTTCCATGAAACTTTTGATTTCTTCGTGCCTGACCAGAGGAAGGATGCACAAAGCTTATCAATCTCTGTGATGCAGGTTTTTGGCAGGCGAAAATCTGCCATCCAGAAATTGGTTAAGCTGAAGATAACAGAGTTCAGAAGCTGTAACCGACCTCCAAAGGACAAGGGTCGAAACATCCATGATTTGATGTTGTTTCGGATGTTTTTGATAAGTGGCAAGTAATCTGCCTTTGTCATCCTCCGAGTAAGTAGGGGAAGACCAAGGTAGCGAACAGGTAAAGCTCCATGAGAGAAGGGGAATTCTCTCAGAATATCCTCGCGAGCATCATCCAGCACACCTGCCATATATAGCGTGGATTTCTCAATACTCACATGAAGACCTGAATGCACTGCAAATTCCTCGAGCACCTCAACAGTACCCTCAATCGATCGCTTATCTCCTTCTACAAAGACCATTAAATCATCCGCGAAACAAAGATGTGTCAGAGACAAGTCTTTACATGCAGGATGATAGCCAATTCTGTTAGTTGCAGCAGCTTCGTCAAGTCTTTTGGATAAGACATTCATGCAAATCACAAACAGATAAGGGGAGAGTGCACATCCTTGTCGTAAACCCCTTGAGCTACCAAAGTACCCTGCCAATTCTCCATTGACTTGTACTGAGAAAGAAGCAGAAGAGATGCAAAGCCGAATCCAGTGTATATACTCCTCAGGGAAGTCCATAGCTCTCAAAGTATTAAGTAGAAACTCCCATTGACAGAATCAAATGCTTTTTCTATGTCTATTTTCATGGCACATCTGGCTGTGATGTCTTTTTTGTGATAATCTTTTACTAACTCAGTAGCAAGAAGCACATTTTCCATCAGTAGTCTATTTTTAACAAAAGCTGATTGGTTTGGAGATATGAACTTGGGAAGTATGATTTTTAGTCTATTAGTCAAGATCTTTGAGATGAGTTTGTAGAGCACATTGCAGCAACTGATTGGCCTATAGTCTTTCATGGAGAGAGCCTCTTTCTTTTTTGGAATCAGAGCTAGAATAGTTGAGTTAACTCCCTTAGGCAAGAATCCCATTTGAAAAAAAGACTGAATCGCAGTGATCAAATCCTTTCCAATGATTGCCCAAGTTTCTTTGAAGAATTCAATGGTATAACCATCAGGACCTGGTGTCTTTTCTTTTGGCATGGAAAATAGAACACGCCTGATCTCCTCCTCCGTAACCTCATGCGTTAAGAGTTCTTTGTCTGCCTCAATACATCTAAAGCTGATGATGTCCTGCAGCTCAGTAATTGTCCAGCTAGTGAAATCCTCGGGATTGTGGTTGAGAAACTCATTGAAATACCTGATCGCTTCAGCTTTGATCTCCTCATGCTCGTTATAACTGATCCATCTGAGCATTTTATTTCACTTATTTTGTTTCTCAGATTGCGGGTCTTGACTGCATTGAAGAACACTTTAGTGTTCTGATCCCCAGCTTTTAACCAAGTCAACTTCGCCTTTTGTCTCAGATACTTTTCCTCTATGTCCGCAAGATGGCTCCATTTCGTGTATGCCGTTCTCTCCTCTTCCATTGCCTGATCAGTTGGGACCTGCATCGTAATTGTCTGCAGCTCATAAAGTCTGCTGTAGGCTTCCTTTGTCCTTAGAGTAATGTCACTGAGCATCTCTTTTCCCATCTTTCTAATGGGAGCTTTTAAGGCCTTAAGCTTCTTTGAGAGTCTGAAAATGGCTGAAGTAGAATGGAAAAGGGGTTGAGTTTGATCCCATATTGACTGGACCTGATCCATGAATCTCGGGTATTGAACAAGAACATTTGAGAACTTGAATGGACGTTTTTTCCTCGGTTCTACTTCTTTCAGCTGTATGCGGCATCGAAGATGATCCGAGCATCCTCCGGCTTCGAAGACGCAATAGGATTGAGGATAGTTGGTAATCCAGTCTCCATTTACCAGTACTCTATCCAATTTCTTGCTTATTAAGCCTGTTGTTCTCTTGTTTGTCCATATGTATATCTTGGACCATGATAACTCATATCAAGAAGCTCACAGTATCCAACTACTTCCTGAAAGTCTCTCATCCCCATCGACACCATGGGAGAATCCTCGAACATGGAGTGTTCCTCCCCCTCCAATATTTCATTGAAATCTCCGCAGATGATCCATGGCTTATCCCTGAAAAAACCAGAGTCATGGTGGCTTTTCATATCTTCCCACAACTGCTTTCTTTCCTCCACTGTGTTCATAGCATAAAAAAAACGTGACTAGCTGTATATCATCACTTACCTCTCTCATCACTGAACACGAGATCAGCTGTGCAGACTTATAAATAGGAGTGATTCGCACATTACGTTTCCAAATCAGCCACAGCCTTCCGAGCCTATGGTGCTCATAATTACCCATCCAAGACCAGTCCCAAAACACTTCTGACACTACTCGACTTGCATGTCTTTCCTTTACTTTTGTTTCTAGAAGGCAGCCAAAGTCAAAACCGCTACGATCAACCCATTCCTTTACAACTTGGTGTTTACTTTTTTTGTTGAATCCTCTAATATTCCAGAAAAATCCAGACATTAAAGGTTTTGGCGAGGGGGACCAGACTTTTGATTTCCCTGGATGGGATCCGAGGCTTTCTTGGTTTGGTTTGTTGATGTTTTTTTCTGAGCTAGTCTTCGGGATTGTCTGGTGTTAGTTTCCAGGCCTCCATCAGATGCAGACGTGTTTGTATTCAGAGATAGTGCGGTAGCTTGCTCCACATCATTCTCTTTGTTTAAATCCTCTGGCAGGGTTTGGTTCTCAGTTTGCTGTTCAGTGTCAGTCTTTCCTTCCTCTTCGTTGATATGTTCACTTTCAGATCCCTTATCCACTTCGTCTCTATTCTGCAGAGCCAAGAAACGTGAGTTTACGAGAATACTGACCTCACCATACATTGAGTCTTTTGTGACCTTACTTGCTGAACGAACTGTCTTAGTTGGTGTTGTCCATTCACCATCTTCTATCACTTTTTCAGTAACAGGCAATGATGATCCTTTGTTTTCTGCAGCTACGGTTTCTTTGTTCACACGCTCAGTCTCATCTGCTTTTGGAGTTTCTGGATTACTCTGTCTTTGTACCTTCTGTAGAACACATTCATGCTGTTTGTGTCCCCATTTTTCATAGTTCGTACATTTTGCTGGCAGCCATGGGTATTCATAGGATATCTGAACGCACTTCCCATCATCAAGCTCGAAAGAGAAAGATTTAGGGAGGGGCTTCGTGACATCCACTTCGACAAAAACCCGCGCTTCTTCAAAACTTCTGCATAACTCAATATCTGGATGAAGATGCTTTGGCTCTCCTATTGGGCTTGTCAGAAAAGACAAACCCTTCCACGCAAGCATCGATCGAGGGGCTTTTTTAACCACCACCCACAAAGGTATAGACTTCATCTCAGATTGCATCTCTTCTGGAAAAGGACTCCATTTCGAAATGATCACAGGAACATCACATAGGTTCCACATACGTCACTTTAGAACTCTGTTTCGCACTGTTGAATCCCTTATTCTGAACTTCATTGTGGTTTTGTCCACTACATATACATCGATTCGAACTGTTTTGTCTGATAGTGGCCAGATTTTGTTAACCAACACATGAACTTTTCCCACATATGGAGCAGTGTCGAGAAACTTGCCCACCAAGAGATCCTCCCAAAGTGGTGGAGAGTCTCTAAACACATCCATTGGCACTTTCATGGTATCAACTCCGTTAACTTCCATCACCGTAAAATCGTATTTTTGCATCGTCGGCCTGTTTTGGACCGCTGCAACCCACGCTCCACCCTTAGCCGGAGCTTCCACACCCTTCGTAACACTCTGTGTCCTCGAACTCAGATCTCCAACTGAACCACTTTTCTCTGTTTTCTTTACAACTGAATCTTCCATCGCCTCTGCAATCATGTTAACGGTAGCCAGCTCTTCATTATGCATCGTACCCTTGTTGTGCCCTGGCGGAGAGGCCGCCGGAGGCAGCATCTTGTCGAAGAAGCTAAGAAATCCTAATCGCTTACTTTTTCGCCAAGCTCACCAAAACGCACCGTTTCGAATTATCACCCACGCTATCAATGAGCTCATTTAACTTGCATAGATCATTAAAATACAAGCAAATAATGAACAGACCAAAGTTTTTATCAGAAGTGATCCTTTTGATTGACTAGCGTAAATCGAAAAATCCACTATCAAGCAGATTAAAGTCAGTTTCTTCCAATTCCCAATTATAAACACATAAATGGCCGTCTAGTACCTGTTTAGGAGGAGAAACGGATTCACCGTAATCACCACGAGCACAACTCTCCATGAACTACAAGGCAACTTTGTCTCCCAGAGAGTGGAGACTGATGTGGAAGTCTCGATTTTTTCTAAACTCTCTCGAGAAAGTAGTTTTGATTTCGACTTCAAACTCTCCCATTTGCTGTGGGCGAATCTCGCCGGAAATGAACTAACTCATTGGTGAAAAAATGAAGACAAGAAAGATGGATCATCGATACAATGTTCTGTCTTGCCGATTAATTTAAAAGAGGTTCGTCGAAGAACAATCACCAGGGTTTTGAATATCGAGAGAAATGAATTACAGAAAATTTATTAAAAAAAAAATTTCTGGCCAATCAGCATCTTCCATGTATTTTAAGAGACAGCCTCTTCCATCTCTTACCTAAAAAACGATCCATAGCTTATTTGGACTTTTTAATTATTTTTAAATCAATTTGTCTATGAAACTGGGCCACAAAAACACCTAAGAGCACCCTCAATGGTAATATGTAATTAGAGGCTCTAATTATTTATTTTAATGGTTTTAATGATTATGTAGGTTTTAGAAATTCAATTACAGCTTTACCAAATTTGAACCTCCAATGGTGGGATGTAATGAAGGATTCTAATTAAAATTTTTTTTTTTTTTTAATTATAATTTATAAAATAGAATTATTTTATGAATACAAACTCTTTTATTAATTTGAAATTTAAACAACCATTACATAAAACCAACTTAAATAAAAATATGCAAATCATATTTTTAGCCTTGGAAGCCTTTACACCAGCAGGCCGAGGAACTCCTTCATCCTCTCCATCCCTGAAACGAGCATCTGTTTCTTCAACTCCAGCACCATCGGTTCTTCTTTTTTTTGAACTTCCACTTCCTCTCCACTTCTGATCATGACGCAGTTCTCTCCAGCAGTGCTCCATGGTGAACTTGTGTTTGTAATCATTGAAAAAGATGTCCAATGCCAGCTTCATTACATCATTTTCATTTTGCCCTGATGTTTTTTGAGCTGAAGCTGCCTCATACGACCCAACAAACTTACACACAGACTCATTTATCTTGGCCCATCTCTGCTTACAGTTAGTTGGACCTCTCTTGTCTTCAGGAGACACCTTATCACTCGCCGTATAATAGATGGCTATCCTTTTCCAGAATGCATCAAGCCTTTGCCCATTGCTAATGATTGGATCCTTGCTTGTATTAAACCAGGCGCTTATGAGCACAAGATCTTCAGTGGGAGTCCATGGCTTCCTGGTCGTTTTGTTTTTGGCTTGTGAATCACCTGGACTTGGAGCATCACTCCATTGGGTTCCAAACACTGGGTATGGCTCACCGAGTTCAATGGTTTGTTGCATGGGTTCAAGGCTTTGGGTATGGCTCATTTGTTGGCTGGTTAGCAAGTTCATGAAGCCTGAAGTGTCAGAAAAAGGATTCCTTGAGTCCATTGGAAGCAATGCAAATGCGAATGAAAGAGAAAAAAAACTGACAAGGAAATGAGAAGGGTAGAGTTTAGGCGAATGAAAAGGAAATGAGTAGAAAGAGTTGGCTTCTCTTGGCTAAAGGAATGAAAAGGAATGAAAAGGAATGAAAAGGAATGAAAAGAGGTGGCTTCTCTTAAAAAAACAATGTCTCCACCGTTTTATACAAGCTAAAAGTATTGAAGAGTTTGTGTAACTAGTTAAGCATTCATTGTAATAAGCATTCATTGAGTTTAAGTTTAATTGTTATAGTTGAGTTTGAGTTTAAGTTTGAGTTGTTAGCATTGATTGTGAAACTAGTTTGCATTGATTTCTTTGGGGTTTTGGGTTTAAAAAAAAAAACAAAGTTAGCTTCAATATATAAGGTAACTTTGACTAACCATTTGACTAACCATGGAGTTAGTATTGATTACTATGTTTTGGGTTAAAGTTAGAGTTAGCATTTGCATAAGAGACTTAGCTTTCAAGTTTAAACAAAAACTTCTACTTAGCATTCAAGAGTGAGTAAACTAGCACAAGTTTTCTCCTCTTTTAGTTAGCATTCATTGTGTCACTTATGTTTTACCTAATCAAAACAACTTTGCATTGATCAAATGTGACATAAAGCACACCAAAGACAACCGATTTCAAACAAGCATTGATTCCACTCTCTAATCCAAAATCTAACTACCAAGTATTGATTCCAAACTACAGAGCATTATTTCAAAGCCTAATTCAAGCCATCAAACCATCAATCACATCCGCATATCACACACATCCTAATTAAATCACCCAAAAATTCTTGGATAAACTAAGACATGCAAAAAATACTTACTTGTACAATTGCATGCTTGGGTCGCCGTTGTCGATTTGTTTGGAAGATGCTTGGGTCGCCGTTGTCGATGGGAAAAGAAGAAGTGGTCGGGTCGCCGTTGTCGATGGGAAAGGCAGAAGGTGGATCGCCGTTGATGATGGGAAAAGAAGAAGCGGTCGCCGGAGGAGAGGTTCTCCTCATTGTCGATAACACCAAAGACAAAAGAGAAAGAAGATAGAATGTTTTTCTATCTCACATATCATTTGAAGACTCTACTTTAATAGAGTCTCTGATTAAAAAAAAAAAAAAAAAAAAAAACCATCCAACCAATATCTAAACGCGACGTCAGAGGCTCAAGCAAGTTTCCAAAAACTCTAAAAGTAGAGACGGATGAAGTTTTGATTATCATTTAAACATTTTTTTTAACTTCTAAAAACAATTACATCCTCTCTTCATCCTACCATTGAGGCTGCTCTAAGAGACACTGATGGAAGTGCTCTAATAGAGTTTGGGAACAAAACATTTTTGGGGGTTTATTTTCATTCCAGGAAAACCCATCTCATATTTTTGTTCAGCGATCTCGGCGTCACTCTCGATTTTCCTTCCTCCAATCTCAGATTTTTTTTCATCAGAGGAAGCCTGTTTATCACCTGCTCCATCTCCGGTAACTCCTCGATTCACGCAGTTTTATCGTTTACTGGAAACAACTCATCTACAAAATTCACGGCGAAGCTCAACAACAACCAGATTTCGATTAACTGCGGTGGTGGGTTTTCGGGTAAATCCGGATCGTCTTGTTACCGGATTCGAACCCAGATTTCGAATCAATCCTCGCCCGATTCAGTTGATGTTACCCAGTTTCCGGTGACGCTGATTTCACAAAACCATTCGCTTTGGAGTACAAATGGGAGAAGAGAGGCTACGAAGATCTCTTGATGCTCGCTCGTCCTCTTCATCTCAAGCTTTTAGCAAGCGACGATTATCCAATCACCGTTCTAGATCATTTCAGGTACAGAAGCATCGACGGAGATTTGGTCGGCGATTAGAAAGTACTTAAAGAACATGATCGAGCCATTATGAGACGCGACTAGGTCCAACGAAACAGGGGATCTGCCCCGCTCCACAGCAAGCCTGAACGCTGATACGCGGATGTTGAGGTGCTCTGCAATCTCTTTACAGCTCGGTATCTGCTTTAGTTTCCTGGTCAAGACATTACTAGCCTCTGCAACTTTTGCCGTCAACTCCCACATGCTTCCCTACACACAACAAAGTTAAAATGATGCATTCACTAATAACTTACCACTTCAGAGGAACCCCATTGTAGTTTCTTTTCTATGTTAATACTATACTTTCTAGTATTTGGTCCTTGTTTTTAACTCTTATTAAATCAAAATGTGAGAATTGGGTGTAAAAGATGCAAGGCTCACCGGCAATTTGACTAGTCTTATTAAATCTTTTCTCTGGCTTCTCTTCTCGGCATAATATTTCATTAGCACTACGCTTCTTCTTCCCTTTGCCACTGGACAACAAAACTGATACCATTTCATTCTCTTCAACAGTTGTTCCCACATTTTCAAGTTTTGCTCCTTCCTGTTTGTTACCAGGAAAAAAAAGTCTTGAGTTTGTTAAATGGGGAGGTGTGTTCACAATTGTTTTTTTTTTTAAACTCCTATGAATCTCTATCATTGGACAGCCCAAAAATGTAGGTTTTTATCCAGATTTCTTATTCACCTTTAAGCTGAAAAAATGATAAAAAAAATAGCTAAGAGACCCATATGGGTCTCAAACGTTGATGATGCTCAAAGTGGAATAGGAGTGAATGGAATAATGAAATAGTTAGAAGAATAAGATAAATTACTGAAAAAATCTCAGCATGATGTTTACTCTTTCGTATTAGTTTTCTTTACGATGACATTATATGATGAAAAATTGCCTTTTATCAGCTTAAAGTTCCAGTATAGATACCATAAACACACCCGACCAGCTTCATCAACGAATCTGTTAAGATAGTTTCATATGTAAGAGGTTTTGAAGTTTCTCTGAGATTGGTTTTTGTGTCCTGATTATCTTGCTTTCAAAGGAGGTAGTAAAGCTGTTGAGTTACAAGGTTGCTTGGACATCGGGAAAGTATCTTGGCAGAGTGAGCTAGCGTCTCTTGGCTTTGATAGTTAGCGTAGTCTTATTTTAGTGCCGGATCTAAGTTTGTTAGTTGAACGTCGAGCCATAGACATTGAAGACTGTCTTTGTTCGGGCTACGGGAGAAAATCATTTTTTAGAGAAAATTCTTTAGAGAAAATTATTTTTTTTTAGCTATGGGATGAAACAACTTTTGTTCTGCAAAATGGGCGATTTCCAATCCTCCTTTTATTATTCTCCATTCGATCCCATTTTGCTATCATTCTTCTTTATTTTTAAGGTCTTTATCGCTACTATGGGAGACATGTTGCTTCATTGCTTCAGTGTCAACGGAGTATCGATTGAATTTGTTCATGTTTTTTTTTTTTTTGTCATGGGACCAAACTTTTAAATCGATAATTTGTTAACACAATTTGTAACACCTAAACTTTTTATTCTTTGATAAATATATATGTACAATTTAGCCAAAATAAAAAATTCATATGTAAAAGAACTCACCTAAAGATCAATTATTATTCAGTGATTTAGTAATAAATACTCAATTGTACCATCAATGAAAATGCCTAAAAATACATCTACAATATAATGTTTTATAGGAACTCAATTGCCCATCGAAGCCATACTACCTACTGATAAAAAAAAAAAACAAATGTTTTCTTTAGCTAAAGAAACTACACTAAAAAATAAAAATAAAAAACAAAGAATGAACATAATTATTAGTTAAAATCGAAATCACTGAAGGCAATAAGCAATGAATGATCATATATGAGCAATAAGAAATGAATAAGCATTTGATGTCACAAACATTTGCCATGGATGAAGAGCCTTCTGAGCTCTTGATAGTTAAAATGAGATAAACTATATACACTAAAATTCATTTTTAGAGGGAAACATTGATAACACCTGATTTTGACCATTTTTATGGATCATTTTCAGTATCTTATGCAGGTGTTTTCAATCAATTTTGAAGGTTTTATAAGTGTTTTCCATGTTTTGGAGTTTTAGAAGATTTTTCAGGTTACTTAGGCAAAAACAATGCAAATTAGAAAAAAATCTACTTTTGGTCAATTTCGGACCGTCAGAAGTTTCACATCCGATGAAGACCTTCTCACCGATGAAGACCTTTTCAAGTCCAACTCATTCTCTCTGCCGAAAAAGCCCTAAGGACGACCAGAAACACTTGGAGACCTATAAATATGTATTTTAGAAGACCTAATTTCGTGTGTGCTCTTTTCTCCTTGATAGAGAGGCACCAAACTTTTGTTTCTTAGGTTTAGATTAGGGAGATAGAGATTTTTCTCTTGAACCTTTGTTCTTTCTTTTCATCTATCTATTCAGTTTATGAAATCTCTTTTTCTTTACTGCTTTTCTATTTCAAAACCAATGATGATGTTGTCAAGCTCAGCCATGTCTGAGTAGTCACCTTGCTGGGTGAAGAGGGCCATCGAAAGGGATCCCATGACCAATGACATCTAGGGTTTTAGGTTAAACGATTTCGATTTTAAATGATTATCCCATTCATCCAAATCTCAAAGCGGTAACGCTGGAGTAGCTAACCAGTGTCCGATTCTAGGTTAAATCCGAACCACGAGAGTGTTGTATCTGGGTTGCCTAAACTGGATCTTATGGACGTCACCGTCGTAGGAGACGAAAGCTACCTACGGAGGATACGTAAGCCAAGATGGATTCCAAGCTACAATGCATGATCTTATTCGCAGCATGAGAGCGAGAGTTAATTGCTGTGTTGAGTGATTAGATGATTAGGGTGACGAGAGTTGGCTAATTTTACAAGTGTCTATCCTAGTTTCAGAATCATAGAAAATCCTTACCTAGATTCCTTGTGTCATAGATCATGAACCCTAGAGATGAACACTGATGCCCAGCACATTTTTCATCCTTGTTTAAGTTTGATCTATTTTTATTTCCTTTTTAGCTTAGTAAAATCGTGACACACAACCCCACAAACCCCCCCATTGGTCTTTGAGTTCGATTACTAATTCAGTTTGAAGTTTCTGCAGAAAATAAAACTCTTTCTGTGGATCGACACACTAGGTACTACAACGCACGACTGTGCACTTGCAGACACTAGGGTTTATCAATTTAAAACTATTTTGTGACAGCAACCCTAGCTCGCATCAAACATATAAATGACGTTTCCGGGGAGAGCATCGCTCTTGCTTCTGCCAAACTTCATAGGTTAGAGAGTTTTGAGCAACACGCAGGTTATAGGGGTTACGGTGGTTGTAATCTCCTTGACCCACGTCCTTCTTGAGTTTGTGAGACAAAATTACATCAACGTTACAGGCAAGTATTCCAACAAGACACCTAACTTCGTCTAGTAACTCAGACTTTGATTTCTCTCGGAGACTGCACGAAGAGGGTTGATAATGAGCAGCACACAGGTTGTGATACCCTCGCCCAATCATATCCTCTTGCTCTAGGGGTGAATACATGTTCCAGAAACCTGAAACAAAGAAAAACAAAACGAAAATTTAAAAGAAAAACGGTGTCTAAGAGTCAGATTTACTAACCTATGAAGTTTGGCAGAAGCAAGAACGATACTCTCCCCGGCAATGGGGCCACAAACTTGATGCGAGCTAGGGTTGTTGTCGCAAAATAGTTTTAAAGTTGTAAACCCTAGTGTCTGCAAGTGCACAGCCGTGCGTTGTAGTACTTAGGGTGTCGATCTACAGGGAGAGTTGTCTTTTTCTGCAGAAACTTCAAACTGGATTGTTAATCGAACTCAAAGACCAATCACTACAAAAAAAATGGAGCTATTGTGACTAAATTTTAATACAGAAATAAATCGTCATAAGTTTATGACATTTTTTATACAATATCGTGACCAAAATTTTATGTCACAAATGAGTAACTGTTTCGTCATAATATTTATGATGATCTAAACCGTAGCCAACTTTTGTCGCAATTAGTAACAAAATTGTAACAAAAGTAACAGTCGTAACAACTGTGACAATATTATGACCAAATATTTTATCACAACTTAGTTAAAAACTTATAATGGATTGATCAGTAGCAATTTGTGACGATGTAATGACTAAACGCTAGTTGTTAATAGCTA